GAGTTCACTTTGCAAAGAATACCCAATCATGTGCAAGGAAAATAAAAACACATATTTTTGCTTGCACATGATTGGATTATAGAAGTCAGCAGAGCTTTATCTTATTCACTAAGCAAATGAAACTTCCCCTATTTAGCTTTAGTAAATCAACCCCTATGTGTGAGGTCCCGTACTCAACACGTCAGCAGCTTTTAGACTTTAGATGACCTCTGACCTTTGACACTAAAGGTGAAGTGTCAGATTCAGGCAGGGCAAGTAAAGCTTAGTAAGGGTGCAAATATTACATTTAATATTTAAAAAAATGTAAAGTTATATTAATTTAAGAATATCCAATATATGAGGCACCCCCCAGCCCGCTGAAGCTCCGCCCCTGTCTCACAGAAGCACTGCCTCCATAGTGCCGAAGCCCTGCCTCCAGCTCGGTAATCAAGCTGTGTGGGGAAGAGGAATGGAGGAGACAGGGAGGGGCCAACCTGTCCTTCACTTGCTCATCACTGGTGAGGCATCGAGATTGATGTCCTCACTGGTTTTTATTTTTTATTGGACAGCTTCGACCAATGGCGCTTTGTCATTGGTCCAAGCCATCCACAGAGCTCACGCCTCTAACACAGAATAGAGGTTGTGACCAAGTTAGGTCACACAAGCAGTGGGGAAGCCCGCTGCTGTGTAACCTAACTACCTTTCAAAAGCTGGATCCAGCGATGCCTGTAATTACCAGGCAGCGATCCGTCCATGACAGGCTACACAGAGGGGAGGGTTGCCCTGCTGTGTAACCTGTAACAAGCCGATCTGAATAGAGAAAAAGCTGTCGGCTTCAGACTTGAAGCTGACACCTTTTTACTTCATAATACTAGGTGAGGCTCTGCCTCTCCTGCCTCCCTTTACCGCTCGTCCCTGAGGTATAGGCAATGTATTCAATTCCTACACTGTCCTACAAAATGTCCAGCTTGCCCACTTCTTCCTTCCAAGCCTCTTTATTGGTCAGTTAGTCTTTCCATAGCAATAAAGAACCAAAGAACCTTACACAAAATGTTGACAATTATAACTTCAGCTGCCTATATCTCTGGTTCTGTTGATCACTTTGGCATGTGGTTTTCACTGAAGCTATCCTCTGTTTATGTATTTTGGTTATATGCTCAGTTTAAATTGCTCTGTAAGATCACTTTTATGATGCTGTCTGAAATTTCTGAATGAATCCCCTGCACATCTTTACATATTTCCAGCAAACCTTTGCATAAAATGAGGGATTCTTGGTTTGCATATATTGCAGTACATGTTCAAGCTGGCCAACTGCATCCAAGTGATCCCTCTCTGGTCAGTCCCTACTATAATGTGCAAAATGTTGCTTAGAGCATACTTGAGTGGACACAAAGGGGTCTATTCACGAAGCAGCCGAAGGATCTAGCCGTAGCTTCGGCCGATCCTTCGGCTAGTTTCGGCCCCAGGACCCCTTCGGTTCAGTAGAACTGAAGGGCTGCTGTACGGGCTATTCACAATAGCCCGTACAGCTCCCGAACTTAGTCGAGCCGAAGGCATATGTCTCGGCTCGGCTGAGCCGCGCTGACAGCTGGGCGGAGCCAGCCGTGATCTTACGGCTGGCTCCGGTCACTTGCAGAGAGATCAGCGTCCCTGGTTACCAGCTAACCAGGGACACTGATCTCCAGACAGCAAACTCTCCAGGGCTCTCACGGCTCCGTGTCAGAATAAAGAAAGAAAAAGCAGTGTTTCTCTCCTTGACGGCCTGGAGCGGGAGACTTCCAGAGCGCCCGGGAGAGTTGTTTTTTTTTTCTCGTTTTTTTTTTTTGACGGCAGCAGAACCGCCGGCCAATAGAAAACTGTTGGGTGGAGCTAGCTGTCATTGCTCAGCGGCATTCGGCTATTCACTCACTGCTGTTCGGCATCTATAAGAATAGACCGAACAGCAGCGAGTAGCCTGCCGGAGGTTTGGCTTAGCCGATCCAGATAAGTCGAACTCCTCCTGCACTTCGGGTCAGCTGAACATGCTGAGCATGTTTGGCCGACCCGAAGCCACGTAAAGCCACCCGATGTACGGCTGATTTGAGCCGATATACGGCTGAAATCAGCCGTACCAGTCTGAAGTGAATAGCTGAACAGCGTTCAGCTCACTTCGCTTTAGGTCGGTCATTCACTCGGCTGCCTATGGCAGCTTAGTGAATAGACCCCTTAGTGCCAATATGGGGCAGAGAGACACAGCTGAAAGAGAGTTACAGACTCTAGTCTGGGATTCACCTGAGAGGGATTATATTGATACATTTGGTTTGCCCCTTCTCTTTAGATTGTAAGGCCCTCCTTACTATCTTCTCTCGATTTATATTGTACCTGTAATGTCTTCCTTATATTGTAAAGCTCTGCACAGACTGTTGGCGCTATATAAATCATGAATAGTAATAATAATAATAATGTTGGCCAGCTTAAACAGGTATTACAATATATGGGAACCAAGAATCCCTGTTTTTAAGCAAACATTTGCTAGAAATGTGTAACTATGTATAACAGTGTGCCGTGGGTTCCTGAAATTTCAATGTTCACATGTGGTCACACTCCTTTTAGCAACTGGTGTGTTTGTGTTTGGATTTGAGACATGTGCACACAGGCATATGTCCATTTGTATTACTTTTACAATGCACCATTTACAACACAGCACTGTTCTAATACATACTAGATACTGAGGTTTTGGTACACTGTCCACACACAGAAAATGCAGAGAGCCACATTTTTGGACCAGCAGTTTTTAGAAGTCATCAGTGCTTCGTAAAGGTGATCATGATGATCTCCTAATTTTTTATATTTGCCCAAATACTAGAACTGTAAAGTTTTGGGGTTTTTATGCTTTTGTCTATTTAAAGGAGTACTCCTTTAGGTAATGAGCAGTGTATCTAGTATGTTATTATAAAGACCTCCAGAAAAAAAGTAACTGCACAAAAACATTGATTGTGCCGAGGTCCATAAGGAAGAGTAAATGATGCAAAAATGTAAAAGGAAAAAGTAAAAGTATTCAATTTGACAGATTTTCTGTGCTCAAACATACATAGCTGGAATTGATAAAAGCCCACCATGTCCTTTCATAGCAACATAGAATTAAATGAATAAAATACTTATAGCATATATATTATTTCTTATATCTAATAGGACCCTATAATCAGTATTAGCATTTTGTGACTTTACTATTAGCAGGACAACTTCATGTAAAAGCCAGTTAGGCTGTATAGTGAGCAGTCCCTGTAATACAATCTGAGTGCACATGCTGTATCACAAAATCAAAGGAAACAGCCAACTGAACTATTCCACCTGTAAATTGAGTCTAATATCAGGAGATAAGAAGAAATGGAATTAAAGTGACATTTTATGAGCGGAATAAACTCAGAGGTGGATAAAAGCTTTCACACATCAGCTGCCAATCTGGATCACATATACTTTACTAAGGAATCAAATGCCCAAAATGCAACTTAATACCGGCTCATGGGGTGAAAGTAGCACTTAGGCTCATAGTAAGAAAGCAGATACTGAAATAGTGAGGGGGTGTTATGTAATTCTGGAAGGAGGAAAGGGAGTGAGCTATAATGTCCAATTTGCAGATATCCGTTGTGGTCCTGGGAGGCATTAGGGGAAGCCAAGGTGAGGATCCAGACATAAGCTGCAATGGAAGATGATGGGAAGGGAGCGCAGCACACGTCATTGGATTCCCAATGCTCAGCAAGATAATCTCAGCGGGTAGAAGGAATATAACGATCGGGGGCAATTGTAGAGGATGACAAGCAAAGTGGATTAACAAGACTGAAAATGAAGCAGGATGTAAGCTTTGCAGGGCTAGTGAACTGCCTGGGAAAAGCAAATAGCACACAGGCTCAGAAGTCTCAAACACACATTGGATGCAGCAATGGATTCCAAATATCTGATGTAAGTCAATGTGCATGGAACGTTTAGTACGTGTTCTGGGAGATCTATATAGTACATTCATTGAACCTCAGTCATTGAATGAATTAGTAACTGAAAAGTATAACCGCATATTGTATACAGTGATGCAGGGAACAGATGCTGTGCAAAGTTTAGTAACCCATTACAACCACAGCCATCATCCTTCATCCGTGTAGTAACACATAGCAACAGCATCCATCATTCTTCATCCACTAAGTAACCCATACTGACCACATTCATCATCCATTCATTAACCCATAGCAACAGCATCCATCATTCTTCATCCAGTTAGTAACCCATTACAACCACATCCATAATCCATTAAGTAACCCATAGCGACCACATTCATTATCCATTCATTAACCCATAGCAACAGCATGTATCGTTCTTTATCCATTTAGTAACCCATAGCAACCACATCCATCATTCTTTATCCATGTGGTTATCCATAGCAACCACACAAATTATTCTTCATCCATTTAGTGACCCATAGGAACCACATCTATCATCCATTAAGTAACCCAAAGTAACCAAATTCATCATCCACTCATTAACCCATAGCTACCACATCCATCATTCATGTAGTAACCCAAAGCAACTGCATCCTTCATGCTTCATCCACTTAGTAACCATAGCAACCATATCCATCAAGTAACCCATAGCAACCACATTCATGATCCTTCCACTAACCCATAGCAACAGCATGCATTATTTTTCACCCATTTAGTAACCCATAGCAATCACATCTCTCATCCATGTAGTAACCCCTAGCAACTGCTTCCATCATTCTTCATCCATTTAGTTACCTATAGCTACCACATTCATCATCCATTTGGCACTAGTTGTCATAGGTGCTGCACTTTAGATAAAGTCATAAGAAGGTTAGGAAAGTGGTCTGGCTAGTCATGTTTGATAAGCAGCATATTGCTGGGCTGAAGATTGTCCACACATCGTCCCCCATGGATCATGCCTTCTGGTAGTGTAAGGGTATCCTGGGGGGTCCCAGGGCAGAGAGTAGCCAGTCCCCAGAAGATGTGTGGTACTCCTATGATGTGTCCTCTTACCTTTCATTGGGCTGCTGTGCAGAACTGCGAGCAGCCAGGAGCAGGCAGAAGGCTAGCACACTGTGTCCGCTGGTCATGTCTGTCAGTGTGGGCACCCAGTAGGGATGAGGAGCCTACAGTGGTTTTATAAGGAGGATCGCCTCTACTCATTCTGCTCTGGGAGGTTCTCTGGCATACTCAGGCTCCTGATGAATATCCCATTTGTTCCTGCAGTCCTGGGGAGGAGGGGATCCAGTTCTCCCTAAAATCTGATCCTCCCCTCTCCTCCCCTTTTAGCTTCTTTTTCAAAGGCTGCCATTAACCCCTTCACACCTGGGAGCATCTGCCACTGCGATCATAGGTGGGGTTTCTTATTTTCTTGCTGGAAAGAAAGCAAAATGCTTTTTGTATTGCAGAAAATGATCTTTCTTTCTTTGCCCAGCATTATAGCACAGACATAGCTGATTGCAGCATGTGGACTTGAAAATGGCACCTATGTTTATAAAGATGTAATGCAGACCAGATGGAAATGTCACATGAAGCCAAATGTAAACGTTGACTACAGTAGGTGAAAGTTTATAATGGCTGGATAATACTGTAGAGGAAAGTTACTGGAGCAGAGGAAGCATCTGTAGAAAGACAGACATCTGTAATGTTCTTCCTTTCCCCATCATCATCATCATCATCATTATCAACAACAAGGTAGCATCAAATTGGTTTAATCTGCATACATTGTCATGCAAACGTCATCTTACACTCATTTATGGTAACTTATTATGAGCTCACTGGCAGTTTATGTTAGTTGTTGGTGGATGCTGCTTTTTTTTTATAGCTCCTGGGAGATCTGGATGCGGTATCTCTCCATCGGAGTTCCCTTTAACCACTTGCTGACCAGGTGTTTAGACCCCCTTCCTGGCCAGGCCATTTTTCAGTATTCAGCGCTGCGGTACTTTGACTGACGTTTATTCCGTCATGCAACGCTGTACTGAAATTAATTTTATACAATTTTTTGGGGATAGATAGAGCTTTATTTTGGTGGTATTTAATCACCACTACGGGTTTTATTTTTTACTATATTTCTGGAAAATTACTGAAAATTTTGAAGAAAAAAAAAAAGTTTTTTTTTACATTATGTTAGGAAACAATTATTATTACCCGATTATTTTGGTAAAATATAAAAGACGGGGTCACGTCGGGTAAATAGACACCAAACATGTCATGCTTAAAAATTGCACGCACCCGCAAAATCACAAAAAACTACCATACTCAAAATTGACCATAGGCGACGCTTTAAAAGCCTTTACAGCTCATCAGTTTAGTGTTATCAGTGATTGATGGCCCTAGAATCATTGCTCTCATTGCGACGATCGTGGCGATATGTAACATATGCGGGCGTAATGGGCGCAATCGTCATTTTCGTAGGCATGTGTGTATGTATGGGTGGGGACTTTAAAAAAAACAAAAACAATTTTTTCAATTCTTTTTTATGTGTAACTTTTAATTTTGGGGGGGAAACTTTAGGGGGGGACACGGGCCGGCAGCTTATACAAGCGATCCGCCGGCTCTATAGCCGGCGGATCGCTTGTATGTTAACGGGCATCGCTGCCTGTTTTTAAATTAACGACGTTTCCCGCTCGCGCGCTCAAGTGGGCGGGGCTAACAGACCGTGTATACACGGCCTGTTACATCCAGGAAGGTCCCGGCTGACCGTTTATGTACAACGGCCGGCCGGGAATCGGTTAAAGGCCAACTCCATTGTACTGTGTTAGCCATCAATGATCATAGAAAGTCTGCAGTTTATGTGATCCGCTTTATTGGCTTACCTATGTTCTGAAAGATGCAAGCTTTCAGGGTTCCTTAGATCCCTTCATCAAGCGTCATACAATTGTATAAAGCCTGACGAGCTGAAGTGATCTAAGAAAGCCTGTAAGCTTGCATCTGTCAGAACTTAACATGATGTTAAAGGCAAAAGCTTTTTAAGGTATTCCAAATGCAAATGAAATCACTTACAATGGATGCAGCTCCTTGCAGTTTCCTGCAGAATCAGCTGGTCCCCTGTGCACTGGTCCCGATATCCTGGTTTAGGCTCCTTTACCTTGCAGGGTTCTATGGAGCCACCCTTGTGTGTGATAATAGTAAGTGTGTCTCCACAAACACACAGGCACGGCAAGGCACTCCCCTGCTCCCCCTTACTCCTTTCTTCTTCCGTCTCCAAGCTGGTATATAAACAGCTGCTGGAGACTGTGCTCTCCATTGTGATCTTGTACGCAACAGGAAATTCAGGGAAGCAAAGCTGAGAGAGTTGGAGCCAACTGTTTGGAACATGACTGTAAGCGCTTAGGCAAAAAAGTTTAAAGATGAACTTTGGGCACAACTTTTATTAACCCTTGTAGTGGGGCTACCAACATACGGCAAGGGTTAACTGACAATCTTTGTATAGGGTAAAAAAAAAAAAGTTATACTCACCTGATCCTTTGAGCCAGCCAGCTCTTAGACCGGTCCCTGGAGAGTATCTCCCCCTCCACCGCAGTGGTCATCATATTGGACGTGATGATGCTGAGGGACATACCATACCTGCGTCTAAAGGGAAGGGGTGCTGGCTCTGAGGATCAGGTAAGTATGACGGGTTTTTTTTGGCCCTAGACAAAAAACAAGCAGTGGACCCTTGCAGTGCCAGGGTAGCCCCACTGCAAGGGTTAATTAAATTTGTGCACGGAGTTCTTCTTTAAAGGAACACATATTTGTTTTATTTGGATTCATTATTGAAAAACGTTTGAGAGTTCAATACTACTTTAAGGTAGTTTATAAAAGATATCACGTAAAGGAGAACTATGAGGTAAGTGCTTTTCACTCACCTCATAGTTCCAGCCGACCTGTGACAATGAGACTGTCACAGGTCGGCTCAGTAGATCGGGAGGTGAGCGAACACAGACCGGCGTTCGCTCACTTCTCGATCCTGTCACGGCTCTCTGCCGTGACAGGGGAGGGGCTGGATTCCCCCCTCCCCACTCCGATCTGCCAGCGCTGACTGGTGGAACGGACTGGGGAGGGGGCGGGTACAGCTGGCTCTGCCTCTAGATAGGCAGAGCTAGCTGTCACTCACGCAGCTGGGCGTATCCACACATAATTGTCAGGATCCGCTTCAGCTGCGGCGGCTCAGTACACCATGAGCAGGGACCAGTCTAAGAGCAAGTTGGCTCCAAGGATTGGGTGAGTATAACTGTGTTATTTTTGAACCTAGACAGAAAGGGTTAAAATAATTTCCCCTGGAGTTCTGTTTTAAACTCCAAAGTTTTTGCAGGACCAACTATAAAATGTTTTTTTTGGGTTTTTTTCAGTTTTGGGTAGGTTTTAAATATTTTTTGCAGTGGTAAAATTCTCTTGACCTGTTCCCGGAAGGTCATATTAAAGATGTTACTCTGGATTACTGAGTTAAGGCCAGTTCACAGCAGCCACAGTGCGTTCCGGCCCGATTGGTGTCGGAATGCAGCGCACTTTGTTTTGGGGCGGGAGGGGGCGTGGCGGTGCATTGAAGCCAATGGCACCGCAGCCACGCCCTCAGGCCACAATGCGATCGCCCACACCCGAACGCGTGGCACATCAGTGCCGGCGTTCCAGTCCGGTGCCGTCAGAAAAAATAGTACATTGCGGCTGGAGGATGTGGCTGCGGTGCCATTGAGTTCAATGCAAAACAAAGTGAGCCGGCCGGAATGCGATACAGTGCGTTCCGGCACCAATTGGGTACGCACTGTGGCTGGTTTGAACTAGCCCTAAAGTGTGTACATGGAATGCATTGGCCAATGTGACACCAGTTGGCTTTGTAAAGGCTCCAGCAGTGGAGAGGAACTGAGAATTCCAGGGACCATAACTGACCCCTCGAATCCCTAGCTGCTGGGTTATACTCATGATAGATATAAGAAGACGAGTGCATTGACTTGCCACTGATCATGCAAAGCGGATTTGTAAGTATTTTGTGGAGGTGGTTTTCCACAAATGCAGATGGCAGCTCTCTAGATGAAACAATAAGTGCAGAGGCCGGTCAAACATGCTATACAAAATCCCTAGCAGTTGATGGGTAGAGGTAGCATTGGGTCACTACACAGATGGAACAAATGGCTCTCTATGGTCTCCCGCATAGGGAGCTACACAAGTAACATTAAGTAGCAATTAATAAGTGATGAGCTCGGGCTTGGGGTGAACACAGTTTGCCCAATATTGTGACTGACTACCCAATTGCATACACATTTACAACAAAAGTTGTGGTGGAGTTTTTTAAACGAGGACTCAGAAGATTAGAAAATCGTATACATTTATTGAATTCATAAAAGATATTTTCATAGTAAAAGTTAAAATCAGTGCTATTATACATACATGATTATCGAGTCCCTAAATTTCTTACCTATTTTTATATATATCATGCATAATTCATAATCCATTTCATAATGTGAATAACTTATCGATCATTGTGCTACATATGCAGTGTTATATCGCTCCATTGATCCCCTACGCGTTTCGCATGTGAGCTTCCTCATCATTTACATTTCTGTATATTCTATTTCCATTTATAATTAGCCATACATATTTCCTTCTTATTATAATTATATTATGCAGCCACTCACTCAGGGATCAGAGATCATGAAGGGACCCAGCTCCAGGAGGACAGGACCGATTCCAGTCACCCCCAGAGAAATTAAGCAGCGGAGCCACAGACGCATAAAGCCTGATGAAGGGGACCCTGCGCGGCCCCGAAAGCGCTTGATTCTACTTTGAGTGACTTCAAAATAAAAACGAAGATTCACTGAACTTTGACGTGTTTGTCATATTGGAGTGCTGGTGACATCTCTTCACAACAATCATAGCTTAAAAGTGGACCCATTACCAATAGCATGATAGCTATGGCATATAGCATGATAAATGAAAGCATGTGCCTTTATAACCCCTTCACTCTCGATAAAAGTGTTGCTATGATTCTCAGAGACTCCCGAGCCTGCGAATAGATAATACATGTAACCTTTTTTGTAGACTGCTTGAGTTCAGCGCCTGCATCCTGTAAAGCAAAGATCATGATACAAGGATAGTGTGCATGCAGGTACAGGGACCTCACAGGAGTTTT